GAGATGATCCTTTTCCCCAAAAAACTTTATAATTACCACTAAAGCTCTCACTTTCATTAATCCACAGAATGCCTCCCTCCCAAATTTATCCTTGCAATTCTCATTAACTCTTATCTGACACAGAGTAGACAAAATGTGGTGTTGACTAAGGTGGAATTTTTCTATGTGTCAGTAATAAATGCCATATGATCACCAGCTTGCTCTTCTGATGTTATCTGTGGGCTAGTCATAAGTACCAAGTCCCTCCCATATCAAAACAGTGGTGAAAGATCAGCAGAACCAGCACATCTTAGCAAGTTTCCAGATCACGCTTGTTCTCCAGCTGGTGAAATCTCAAAGCATTGACCAGGTAATGTCAGCCGCTATGGATGTGGAACCTGAGACTCCACTGTTCTGCTGGCAGGGAGAGAGGGATAGTATGGGATTTGCATATGGAAGCTGTGTAGAATATTGAAAGAGTTTTGAGTTTTTGGAGGAGAGAAATTGACCTTAGGGTTCATATTAATATCTAATGTTTTTCTAGAAGTGAAAACTGGAAAGGATCTGAATCAGAATGGGTCAAAAATACTTACCATGTAGAAAATTATTTTTTTAAGCTCTCAGATGGTCAGGGGAATACAATTTCCATTTTATATATTGTTAAATATGTAGTTTTTTTCCTCATCATGATGGGTGCTGCCCAATTGGTTAGCAAGGAATAATCAACATGATTATTACCTTACCTTGGAGTTAGATTTAATAAAGTTTGAATACTTTGTTAATATAATTTTTTCTATCAAAAGAAATCAAGCATTATATTTAAAATTTTTTTTCACATTATTTACACATGCAGATATTTTATAGGGAAAGTAACTAAACAAAAAGCAGTTAGCTAACAAAACACATGAGCTTAAATAAGATTTACCTTATAATTTAGTATTATTATGTTTATTGAAAAAATATGTTGTGCCATTATTTGATGATTATTCAACTCAAACTTCTTCAAATTACAAAGGAATTAAATACTAAACATTAAGATATTATAAAAATCCAACAATCAAATCTGCCCATTAAAAGTATATTGATTCTGTCTACAAACTTACTTGGATGTATTATTTTGGGTAAGATTCTTTATCCTCTTAAGTCGGTGAATGTCACATTTTTCCTTAGTGATTTATTTTGTGTTAATTATCTTAGAATGCACCTAAATATTCTAAATTATTTTCATCCTTGTGATTCATTGATTAAATGCCTTTTATTCATTTTTTATTGTTTATTCATATGTGTATACATTGTTTGGGCCATCTCTTCCCCCCAACTCCCCTTATTCTCTTCCCTAACCACTACTTCCAGGAAGAACCTTTTATTCATTTTTAAGAATATCATGTACTAGAAGTTAATTCACAGGATAACACTCAGAAAGCAAAGGAATATCCTTCACTTCAGCTTGTTATTAAGCACTTCACCATATATCATGCACTCTGCTAAATGATGGAGAAGAGTGGAGAGGTAAATAGCCCATATGTCATGAATGAGCTATTTGGGAAGAATCATATTAAATAAAATAGATAATCTATGTATTTGAGAAAAAATGTGGGAATAAGGTATAAGAATAAATACAAATTTATCCCATAATAATACATTTCATAAATAACCATTTCATGTTTCTTTTGCTTTATTCTTATGAATTAATTTTTCTATTTTAATATAAATGGTAACAATACCATACAATTATGAACAATGTCCCAGGGCCTTGCATGCTAGGCAAGTGCTGTACCAATAAGAGATATCCTAGTGCCTATTGCATTTTTTAAAAAATCCTTAGTTTTGCCTTAATTGAGCTTGCTGCTTTAGTATGAAGAAAATTTTAAGAGTTATGATTCAAAGGATATGAAAATCCTTAATCCTCTTTACCCATCTTTCTTTCCTGAATCACTGCTGCTAATTATGCAACCAATAGCAATATAAAATCAGGGTGAAATATTTATATCATGTAAAATATTGTCATTAATTCTTATCAACTTTTTGTGATGCAATAATTAAGAAATATTTTTATTTTAAGTATTTGTAGTTATTTTATTATAGAACAGAAAAAATTTATGTGTGTAGTTGTGTTTACATTTCTTTAAATGTTTTCAATTAACTTTAGTTTTCTGTTATAGTTTATTTCCTTTTCCATTTTTATTATCAAAGAGTGTTGAAAAATTTGAGACTATATATGACACTGATTAAAAATGCCATAGTATACATGTATATGAAACAAGATACCAAATAGTGTAATAATACATGCAAGAAGAATGTTTTGAAATACTGTCATTACTCACATGTAAAAGAATTGCAAAGTACCTGCACTACCAAAATTTCAAAATTTTCCAATAGGCATAATAACTGTGCAATCTGAGAAAACCCAAACCTCACATGTACATTTTTACTGATATGTTTGTTAACTTTCTCATTTCACAATATTTTTCTTTGATGCCTACTTGGAACACTACTATTCAATTCTGCCATTAAAATTTCCTTTCATTGGAAGAGTTCTTGTGGCTTTTTCTTTTCTGTAATATTTTCTATTGGAGAAGCTATAAAATGAGAATCATAATGTAATTCCATTTTAGATTTGAGGGTTAGACACCTTGGTTTTATTCTTTCCATCTTCAATAAAGTCACTAAGTATAAGAGTACAATTTGTTCAAATATCTAGAAATTATTGAATAGGGAATAGTAGACAATTCATGTGCAAAATTTGTTTTTTTATTTTTATGAATATGATAGAATTGAAAGTTTTTTAGTAAAAACAGATTGAAAATTAGGATTACAATGCAATTATAATAGCAATATAACTTCACTTCGTGTTATTATAAACTTCAGAAATTTTTATACCATTAAATTAAAGTATAGGTATGTCATAATTTAATGAAAATTTAGCCCATTTTTAACTATATTTCAAGAAAGGGTAGAACTGCAATATTCTATGAAAATACATATATGCATATTTGTTCGTGTGTGAATATACATGCATATATATATACATATATATGTATGCTTTTTATTTCTTAGTGTATTTTGGATAAGCTACATCATTACATGAACTTGAACTGTAATTAATAAAGAGCATGAAGTCCTTAGGTAGGGCTGGCCATGCCCATGGTGTAATAATGCCAAGAACTGCATTTGCCTTCCATCTCTCTGCCCACCACCATGGGGCTCATTCATCTACTACCAAGGAGAGATGGACAATCACATATGTCCCAAGCTCTGAATATGGAAGAGAATGGATGTTAGGGAATCAATAATTATGGAAGCTATGATAACTCAAATCAATATAGGCAAAAGACTGATTTTTAAAATTCCCAGCTCAATTAAAAGAATGATCACATCCTTTCAGTCCTGGTTTGATGACAAAATAATACACATTTTTAGAATAGCAGTGTGCTTTATTTAATTACTCACTGAGTAAAATTAAGACTTATTATATATTATGTAATGTATACTAATTACATCACATAGTAAAATGATGAGAAATTTGAACCAGAAAATAAAAACACAAATGCCTTAATATAATCTCTTACAAACTGAAAGTCAAATTTATTCATCACCACATGTAAACATCTTGATTTTACTTCAGTATTATTTTAACATAAAACTTAAGAGTCAAAAATTACATTTAAGATGATTTGTCTAATCTCTCACTATTTTTCTGAGGGAATTAGAAAAGTTATTTTCTTAAGGGCATAAAATATTAAATCTTTGGGAGAGAGACCAGGCTGACCTAAACTCTCAATTCTCCTACCTTAGTCTCCTGAGTGTAGGGATTTCAGGTATTTGCTCCCACACTTGGCTCATAGAATTAATTTGTAACAACAAGGGCTAGAACTGCCTCCTAGATTCAAGTACAAGTTTTTTTTCAAAAATCTTGAACTGAAGTTGTTTTGTGAGATGTGAAATATGGAAAGATTATGAATTTATGCTGCTCACACCTTCTTAGTACAGCTAACTGCTACTGCCCACCTTGTTTCAGAGCAGACTCTACATCACATTCTGCAAATGTCCACTCCTGTGTTGCAAGAGAGAATGTATTTAACCTTTCCTTAGTGTCACTAGTTAAGTGAGAAAAAGTAAAGCATTTAATTGATTCAGAATCTTTTAAATTACTTTTCTGATGGAGAGATTGTTTTACATTTTTTGTGGAAATATTATTTATGCAAATTAAATATAGGTGAAGAATTATATTTTTGGATTTACATATATCCTGATGTGATCTAAAGACTACCATGAATTGGCTTCTGACTTGAGAAAATCATTTATATTTTGTGAGGTGCAATTTTTCTCATGTATAAAATAAAAAAGAATCCCATCACTATATAGTTTTGTTAGAATTACAAGTAGTGCCCAGCTCAGTTAGTTACTTCATTAAGCATTTTGCCTTGAATATCATGATTTAGTTTTTCTCACAGTCCAAGTCAGAGTTCATGACATTCAAAGACTGTAAGGTTAATGAGATGGGCTACAGAAGGGACTCACCTGGTATAAAGCAACACAGCAGTTTGGGAGGTGTGTTGCATTGAAGTGTCACCTTGATAAAGGAGGTGGCTCAGGATCATATTTACATTGTCATTGAAACCAATGTAGGCACTAACAATTTAGGTGTGGTTCATCAACAAAGATATACATCTAGACAATTGTGGATAACATATAATAATTTCCAAGTTTTGTCAGCCAATAAAATTACTTTAAAATATTGTCTATAAGTTTGGTATACCTTATCTGTAAGGTATCATAGACCATAACTCAATTTGGTAGGATGTCCATTCTACAGTATCACAAAGAAAAAAATTTTTAAATTTTTTTCTGTTATTCCCAGATAAATGGTAACTTTAATTCACTTTTCCAGACCATCATGTTGATTACTCATTCAGCTTTCTCCATCACTTCATGATGAATGTCCTACTTTTAACTGCACTAATTATGCTTTCTGATGCAATAGTAAAGATTGTTCCTTTTCTTGTCTGCAGACCTCCGAAATGAGTGAGGAAAAAGTGATGTATACAGATCTGAAATTTCCAAATACAAAGAAACAGAAAGAAAAAAGACATCAAGATCAGAAAAGGAGAGGTAAGGCTATTTTTCATGAAAATAATTTTCAACTATGAAAAAGATGGCTATTATAATAATAATGTTCATGTCTATTTAATATAATTCTGGCTCTTCATATTGTGAAGGATAGTTATGTGTAATAATGAGGTGTGATCAGAGTAAACTGATTTTCATCTTAAACACCAGAATATTAATTTTGCTCTAATTCTGAGGTTTTTGTCATACTTATTATATATTCTTCCTTTTGATTTTATGCAGAATTTCCATGGCACATTGTCACAGTAACCCTAGAAATAATATGTTTACTTCTCCTGCTGGCAATTGCAGGCTTTGGGTATAAAAGTGAGTATGAGGTCTATGTATTTCCTGTGGGATCAACAAACTGTGATAAGAAATAAAATGACTGCTGAACTTCTGCTGAACTTTGTAAACTATAAAGTTTTTATGGTGCTGACAATGAAATTAGTGATGATGAAGGTATTATTGTTTTGCTATTAGTATTTATGCCACATAAAACAGTATATTGCTGTGATTACACAAGAATATAATGGATAAAAGTACAATATGGTTTATATGTATATGCATAAGTAATAATTTTTTTGTATGAAGTAGTTTACCTATGACCAGTCAATTGGAAGAATCTGAGTTTGACTATTAGATTCCTTATCTTGATGAGAATAAATCTGGCTTGTTTGTTCTATGAATGCAATGCTACCTGTCAGTATTAATAAGTTTTCCATCAGTTTTAAAAATATATACTCTACAGTACGTTCAATATCTTTTTCTTGACTGTTCTAAATTATTTGGTTCTTTCCTTTGATAAATAACTTTGTTTATCTTCTATCATGCAAAAACCCAAAGACATAGAAATTCAAAGGAAAAAAAAACAGCTTTCAATGAGCTCAGCTGAAAAAGGAAGACTTTTTTAAGTCTTTTAAAAATAAAATATTACTGCTATAATTATGGCATGAAGAGGTCAGATGGAGGCATATGACATCCTGCAGCAAAAAAATTCCTCATTGTAGATAGTAATTCACATTTAGCAATGGACAGGTAGAAATTATCAGACTAAGGAGATTATTTCAGAGTTTGTGACAATAACTGTCCAAATTAATATCATGAATTAAGTAATTAAGAGTAGGGAATGGGGAATTTAAGATAGAGATTTGCAGGATATGCATTTGATTGAAGGGTAAGGGAGAGGAAGGAATCATGATTGCATTTCATATCAGACTTACATACTCTAGTGGATATAATTGTATCAATGTTACAGAAACCATGAGAAGAATATTAAGCTGTGGTTTATTTGTGTGTGTCTGTGCATGTTGATAGTGGTGAATATTTAGGTGTTTATGGCATACTAGTGGACATGACCACAAAAGTTTCAATTGGTTTGTGTCTCCAGAGTGAGTTGTTGGTTAGAAGCACAGAACATCAGCATGCTCATAAATTTATCAATTTATGGGGATCAAGAGACATACCTAGAGTAAAGATAAAAATTCTGGCTCCATCAATTAATTCAACAAGTATTTGAACACATGATAGAGGAAAGGAGGAGACAGATTACAAACAAGCCTTGTAAAAACAGGGAGTGGTATATTATGTTAAAAGATAGGGGATCAGGATGATGGTCCTTAAGGTGCAGAAACATTTAACAACAGATGAAATTTGTGGAAATTTGTTGTTGACTAGACAAATAGGAGCTAATCTAAAACAGTATGGTATCATGGAGAGTAGGCTAAAAATAGTCAATAGCTGAAGTGTTACCCTTTATGGGGGAACCTGGGTGACCAGAGCCGAAAAGATGAGGGGACTACTGAGTCCTGCTCAATAGCCACTTTAATGAAGAATCCTACTGCTTTTATAAACTCCTTTTACACAGAGAACATTTGGTCAGAAAAAGCATGCCAAGTATTACGTGTAACAGGGAAGCACAGTTAAAATTAACTCTTTGTTATGTCTCCTTTAAAACGGGAACAGAGAAGCAGGAGAAGCACATGGTCAGCATAACTTTTTTATTTACATCTGAAGGACACAAGGCCATCTGGAAATCTTGAATATTGTTTTTCTGGACATCTGGCTTTCTCACAAGGCCAGATACCAGATCACACAGGCAAGGTCTGGTCCTGAGACTTTTGCCTCAGTTCCTTGGAGCTTTCTCACAAGGCCAGATGCCAACTGACACAGGCAAGGCCCCACTGCTAGCTCCAACACTGAAGTAATATAATGGCTGAAATATCATTATTATATTTGACAAGGGAAAGTTCACTAACATTTTTTGCCAGTATAGATTCAGAAGAATGATGGTACGGTCAAAACCCAGACTACAATGGCTAAATCTTATTGGAAGATTAGGAACTAGACAGCGAATAGAAAATTATTTTTAAAATGCAGGTGGTACAAAATTATTACCAAGTGTTGTAGATCTGCATGATATTATATGTTGCTGTAGGAAGCACAAATTGGCACAACTCTTTAAAGCTGAATGTAACTCAGCAATTCTAATGCTTAGTATAACCCAGAGAAATACTTGTATAGTCACAACATCACACATGTACAGGAGGGTTCTCGGCAGTGCTATTCACAATACTACATATCACAAAACCAATGGGAGAGTAAATGAACTCTCTGGGATGTATTCACAGAGTGGAATTTTTGCAGCAATAAAAAGTGAACTATAGTGGTATGCAAAAACCATATTATCATTACCATGATAATATGAAGTGAGAGTGAATAACTAGTATTTTTTTCAAGTAACACAACATATGTTTTCAGGGTTAAAGTCTTAAAGATACAAAATAAGAGGAACAATTCTAAGGAGCAAAGAAACAATAAAATCTTTAAATGAATTAAGTGAACTCTTACCATAAGATTTTGTTTGTTTGGAGAGGTAGGAGAATGCAATGGAATGAAATATATAGAGGAATGAAATAGTTAAGATACTAGCTACAGTTTTGGATAACAACAAACAAATAGAATAGCTAAATAATTAAAGTTCTTCTAGCAATGTTGAAATTGTCTTATACTTGAATATATATAAATAATCTTAACCTGAAATGGGGAACCTAAGGTTAAAAATAGATAACTCTGTTATTAAGGGCAGGAAAAAGAAATAACAGGTAGTTTTGGGGGAAAGGATGGCTTAAGATTATCAGATGCAAAAGAGTAGAAACATTAGAGAGAAACAGAAGAGAAATAGAGCAGCTGGATATGGTGAGAACCAAGGCTACTCACTAGGTTTGGGAGGGTTACACTTGTTCACTTGGAGCAATTTTTTTTCTTTTTAAAACAATGGATACATACCTTTGTTTTTAGGAGAACAAAGAAGAAAGTCAGGGTATTTATGCCGGAGAGTCACTATTTCTATATGAAGTAGCAGATGAGGCCATCTTCTGAGGAAAATCAAGGCAGTACAGAGGGCAATTTAGGAAATGATTGAGTACTTGAAATAGCTATTGAAAATTGAAGAATGGGTGGATGTCAGTAAGTATGTTATATCTGCTGAAGGCTAAATGATGATGGAAGCCAAGTTTTTCTCCATCATGTCTCTCCATTCACAACATAGACCAGGTACAGACCTAGATGAAGGTGTATATGGGGTAGGTTTATTTTGCCTCCTATTTCTTTATGGTCAGTGTAAGACACCTGGTGATAAGCATCAGGAGGCCAAAATTGCAAGTACTGAGCAGCAGTAATCTACATTTTTACAATTTTGTCACTTTTTGTCATCTCAGTTTCAGAAACTTGGGAGAAGGAGATATGATAGGGAGTGTAAAGTGTTCCAGATCTGGCTTTATTAGATCACAGATATGCATAAAGAGTATGGTATAAGATGATTACATATTATTCTAAAATTAGGACTGGTATGCCACACTATTTGGACTTGAGTAGGCATTAAGAAAAGGATCACAGAAAATGGTACTACTTAGAAACCAGAAGTATTTGGTATGTCTTTTAAAATCAGGTACAAAATATGGTAACTGAAGGGGATTTCTTAGTTGGAGCAAGAGTTACATTTACTGTATTTGAAGACATTAAGGGGACTATGCAATTAGTATTAACATTTTTTTGTTGTTTTACCAGTAGACAGTTAATTTTACCAAATATTTTTAAGTAGGAACAGAATTAGAAATGAAAAAACTCTGTTGAAATTCTTGATGGGCTTTATAAAAAGTTACATACTTTGCCTGTTTTGTTTTCTTTATTCTTAAATTTGTAGAAGAGATTGTGTTTCAGAGAATTTTAACTTTCTTTTGCACCTTAAATGAACTCTTTCCTCATTCATCTGTTATGATGCATTATAAACATAAATATAAAGGAAAATCTCTAATTCTAAGTACAAATGTTAAATGGAACCATAAGCTTTGAATCACTGTTTGGGATAGAGACCATGAAAACCAGTTAGCATCTTGTTCTTTTCAGTTGGTATTTTCTGTTTTGTAAATGTGAATTACTATTTTATATGCTTTTTTCTTTTTTAATTAATTAATTAATTATATTTATTTTATTCATATGTGCATACAATGTTTGGGTCATTTCTTCCCCCTTCCCCCCACTTCCTCCCTTTCCCTCTGACCCTCGCTTTTAAAAGTAGTGTATTGCAAGTAATAAATAGTTGTATTTGGAAATCCATTTATTGTTATAGTACTTCAAAAATATTTCTCTATTATTCTAACCACTTAGAAACACTGTTCACTTTGTTATTTAGAATTTCAGTAAGTGATCATAGTAAAGTGATCCATTAAAAGCCATTTGTGATCTTAATTTCATAGTGTGGATTGAAAACAAGATATGTGAGAGAGACACAAAAGAAAACAATATATCCTCACCAGAAGATGATTCAGTGTTACCACCTACTATGGGTATGCACTAAATACTTAAAAAAATAGCTGAAAAAATTTTTTTGGTTTCTAGTATTTTGTTTCAAACCTCTGTATTTTGGGGGATGGGGATCGGGTGGGAGTGGGAGGAGTCAGACTATGCAATGATTTTAAGAACTTTAGCTTAACCATTAGTTTGAGTTGGTAGCTGCATTCCATAGGGGAGATACTACCTGAAGGTTTTCTGTGATTCTTCCCAGAGCCTGCTTCAGTTGTCTAAATGAAATTTATCCTCTATTCCATTTTGAAATGTAATTTTACAAGTTTACATTGAACTTTGGTAGAATTTTAGATTTGTTCATCTTTCCTCATTGAATCCATTTTCTTTATTATAGTTAAACATTTAGCTTTCACTAAAGATGTCTCATTAATATTGTCATATTGATTTGATTGAGTCATTTATGCACATTGATGCATTTTTCCCTAATTCAGAACCTTTGTGATTAATGTCATTCCTATATAAGCATTTTAATGGATTTTTTCTTGCAGGAAGTACAACTTAACATTGGTGCAGTTGCTTATTCTTGAGAAATCAAGATTTTTTCAGTGCAATCGTAATGATGTCCTTCACTATGTCAGAGACAGTGTTTGTATCCACAATATTCTTTTCTTTAAAAGTTAGCAGAAACTTTAAAACTATTCTCAACATACAAACTTTTGAGATCCAAGGAAATTAGCTATTGTCTGCTCATTCAATCTAAACCAAGCAATCAAAAACATGAAAGTACACTTCTTCTAATGGCTCTGAGAATAATGGTGGCTTTTATTTTTAAGAAAAAGGCTATGGTGCATGTCAAGGAAAATGGTCCTGCTGTGGAGAAAAATGCTACTATTTTTCAGAAAAAGAGCATACATGGGAAGACAGTGACAAATTATGCAAAGACCTGGGCTCTAGTCTTATTAAGATTGATAATAAAGAGGAACAGGTATGTTCACTGCATTAAATGTGAGTAAGTGGTTTATGAGAAGTTTGAACAATCTGAATTGGATAATCATTTGTGCTTTCTTCCAATATTATTTGGCCCATTTGGTGGATGCACTTGTACATACCAGCACAGACTTTCCATTGGAGGAAGGGACACTGGGATAAAAGGGGTCTGGAAGAACCATTGTTAAGCCAAGAAACATAGACTTGATAAGTAATTATTTTCAGTGTTTTATTACCTGTGTTGCATCATCACTTTTTGATATAAAATACAATGTTCAGGATTTAGCCTTTTGCTGCTACTGTAAGCCTACAAAAACTGTCTTTGATTATATGGCTAGTCTAAAAGAGCTGCTCTGTTGTTCACAATCACTGTTTGGAAATTTGAATCTTTTACTATAATCAGCTATGAGAAAGGATAGGATGAAAAATAAATAAAGAAATGAATAATTTTTTATTTCATGATCTAGAATGACAGAAATTTTATTACACTTGCCATCATTTCTAAAGTTTGGGAACAAAATGTCAATATAACATATTCTGGATTTATTTCCAATGATTCAATTTAGGCAATGTATTCCATTTATAATAATTTTTTAGCAATGTTATCTTTAATAGTGTCTTATGAAGGACTAGTGAAATACACTTGTCTTTGACAATTTATGTAGTCTTTATTTTATAAAAATAGTTTCCTCAAAGAAATACAAGAGTCAAAATATAAGTTATGAGTAACTATATTGGTTTGAATGTCAGTTATTGTAAATCAATTCCTAAATGATTGGAATTGTGTTCTACTTTGTGAACATTGACGTATTTTTTATAATTCATATTCTTCCTTGTGATTTCTAAGTCTGTTTATTCCAGTGTTATTCCTGACACTGGAAGTTCTGTACTTCAGAATTTTAATGAAACCTGCTATACCGAAATCATCACTACATGTTCATGTATTAATATAGCTTCTTCAGAATTTCTTGAAATGTTTGCCCTTAATTAAAGCAAAAGCTGTTTCCTTTCCATTGCCTCCTTTGATGACATCCATATTGTTAGTAGCTAATTTGAATACATGTAAGCACAACAAACCCTATGACAGACTGTTGTAAAGCAGAATTTTAAAAAAATTTAAGTTTTATTGTGATATAATTAACATAGTTTCACATGAAATTTAAGAAGTTTTGATGTGTGTATACCTGTGAAAACACCAACACAATCAAAATAAGGGACATACCAATCACTCCCAATCCAAGCTTCTCCAAGCTACTTGGTGATCTCTTGCCTCAGCCCCACTCTGCCTTCTAGTAGAGTTACTCTAATAACTTCGGATTTTCAGTGTTTTCCTTCTTTACAAATGAAGAATATAGGCCAAGCAGTGACTTAGGAACACTAACATTTCAAAACAGATTGCCTTTCAGACATTTATGCATATTCTAGCATCCAGCAAAAAACTAAATGAATGAATTAACCAATATATAATTTAGATTTAAGTGCTTCTTTAGAGACCTAAAAATTATAAAGTGTATTTTATATCTTTTTATAATTTGTCATAAGTCAAATTGCAGAGAGAGAGAATTAGTACATTGCTTTAGGAAAAAAATTAATTTATTGTTTTACAAAGAGTGATTTAAAGTATGATATATTTGACATACTGTAAGAACCTTTGTAAATACCACAATGTCCCCCTACCCAGCACAACAATAAGAAAAGATAAAAACTAAAGAAACAATTTGTAGTGAATAGGACATGCCATTTGGAATAATGACTGCAAATAATCATCAATACCTGGCTGTTTGCAATATATTAGACCTTTACAAGCATTATTTTAGCATGAAAAATCTTCAGATGAGTAGGCTGATTCCTTATTTTGCAAATAAGGAAAATGCTTAAGAGATTTAATTAATTTGCTCATTTACATAGTGAATAAATTGAACAACCTGTTATAAAACTTGTTTTATAGTTCCTTAATTTTCACTGCTATATAAAATTACACAAAATGGGCACACTTTTATCCATTTATACAAGAATGAATACAGACTTTTTAAACTAGTTGAAACCACCATAAAAAAAGGACTAAGGTAGAAAGAAGAGAAATAGAGGAGATGAGCCAATTCAGGTTATAATACATATATATTTGAAAATGTCACAAGGAAACTCCCTGTGTAACTATCTTAAACAAGCAAAAATGTCACTTTTTTTCCTACAAAATCAGAAAACAGGATAGCAAACAGGTCCTGCTCAGAGGGATGGATTGTACCAGTGGGAGGGGGGAGGTGGTAGGGAAAAGGTGTAGGAGGGTAAATATGGTGCAAATACTGTGTACACATGTATGCACATGGAAAAATGATACCTGCTGAAACTATTCCAGGAAGGAGGATTGGGGGCAGGGGGAGATAAAGGAGAAGAGTGGAGGAGGTGAGTTCAAGTATGCAATATTTGATACACTGTAAGAACTTTTATAAATGCCATAATGTACCCCCACCTAGCACAACAAAAAAAAAAGTAAATAAAATTACATAATATGGATACACTTTTATCCATTTCTCTAGGTAATGGAAATGTGGGTTATTTTCTCTAGCTTTTCTTAAACTGAGTTGGTTTTCATTAAAAATTCTTAAACATGTCTTTTTTGCAAGACTGTTTTCATGTGTCCTCCTTAGTTTAAAAAATAATTCTAATTATTAAAAAATAATTCTTTTTCCAATATGATTTCAGCAAGGGTTTTAAATATATTTCTTTGATCTCTACAAAACTTCTCTTGTCATTCTTCTTGTGTTTGCCAATCGACTAGTTTTAAAAGAGCGCCTTAGAACTTTGTTTTGCATGTTCTGACCTCTAGGAAACTGGCTTGTTCCCATGTTTTATTTATGTGAAACATTTATTCTTGATTTTCCCCCATACTGGGCAATTTTATTCTTATTGAGCCATAAGATTTCTTTGTTTATTCCTTAAACTAAATTACTGTGCATATTTACAAATAAAAGGTTTGTTTTAGCATATTTTAAGGTGGTATTTGACGAAAAGGAGTTCTAAATTTAATAAAGTCGTACTGTTTTCTAAAAAAACAGTACCAAAGGTACTGATATGTAGACATATGTTAGGTATGTTACATACATAGATATGTAGACAAAATGTTATCATTGATATTATTAGTGATACTAGAAATTTTACTTTTCCCACAGAACTTCATTCAACTAAAGCTGAAATACAATTATTGGATTGGATTATCTAGAAAAGGAGCTCAGTACCCATGGACATGGCAAGATGGCTCACAACTTTCTCAGAGCTTGTAAGTTTATCTTTCCCAGTTTATTCCTCAGTGACTGATTCATAGATTATTGACCAAAAATTGAAAAAGTTTCCTGGGACTTTGATGGTTTACCTGGTGTCATTTAAGAACTAAAAAAGATCTACTTCCAAATAAATCATCCATTAATAAGAACTCCGATTTTTTTCCCCAAAAATGTAATGAAAGGACTTCTATAATGGGGAAATGAAAAGAGCAGATTTCTGACTGTAAAGAGTCACTCTGAGCACTGTGTTGACATTAGGTTGTATGTGGTGAGGGATAGATTGGGATGAAGGGAGTGTAGTTTAATCTGTCAGCATCGTCAAGGTGAGAGAAGAAAGTGGTTTGGTTCAGGTTGGGAAGAGTGAGTGCTGGTGAAACATGTCCAGATTCTATACTTTCAAAATGTGTGAAATGAGATGTCAGGGATGATTCCAAGGATATGATCTGGTAATTGTAAAAATTGTGATGTCATTGACTCTAATAGGGAGAATTAGTGGTTCAGTTTCAGATAGATGTCAAAATTAAACATTTTGACATCTATGAGGATGTCACATGGGCATTTTGGCCTAGAAGGTGTCAATGTATAGATAAAGTTAATAGTTAGAGATGTGTCTATGACATGAGTGATCTCCAGGAAATCTAAGGTCTGAGTCCTGGCACATCCAAATGTTTATGGTAATGATGTTTGGGGATAGCTTGAAAACATTTCTGGAAACTGTGAAAGGTCAGTTTAGGATATTAGAATACATTTTAAGAGTGCACTACTGAAATAAAAAGAATAATTTAAAAGGTAGTGACTTTTGTGAATCATCATTTTTGTGACTTGAAAGGTTTACTATCAGGTTCATGTATGTTTAGAGGAAAATTAAAATTCTATAACATGTTATTACTTCTACTTTAGTCTAGCCCTGCAAGTTAAATTCCACATTCCTTATTCTCATTGCTTAGTTTCGTAAAATATTAATACCTTGTTTGGTATGAAAGACATTAGGCTAAAAATAAATACCCTCAGGAATGTGCTTAAAGCAAGGCAAGTGTTAGAGCCTTATGCTCTTTATGTACTGGCCCAGGTCATAGGAAACTAGAGACATTTTTATATCTAGTTACAAAGTGTCATGTAATAAATTTACTGTATTTAGTTTCTTTCTGGATGGTCCATATGTCTTAGAAGAATTTCCAAAGTGTGCACATCTAATCCATGTTTATATAAGTTATTGGCATTTTGTCCATACTTTTTTCAAAGTTACACCTTATGATTTAACAACTATGTATTCACACAAGATTCCCATTCACACACATATGTTTTCAAACTGTAACAAAATTTTTCCTTGTGAATCCTATTCTAAAATAAATATATTCTCCAATACAGGAGTTTTCAACCAGCAGCTACCACTGATGCAAAATGTGGACTCCTCAAGCCAGCAAGTATTAGTAATGCTGGTTGTATCAAATACTTTAAGTATATTTGTGAAAAGAATTTTACCTGCCTTGCTATTTCAAAGAACTGATAGGACCATAGTCTTAAAATTTTTTCTTTTTAATAACTGCTAGTAAAAAATAACAATAGCAAGTTAGATTATCCACCTAAATAAGTCAACTATGCATGATGTATAAAGTATTACTCTCTCTCAAGACATCCCTAAGCAAGTATTAAATGATTCTTTTTAGGATTAAACAATTGTTTAATACAATAAAATCAAATAAGCTCAAAAAACATGTTTTTAAATATCAAGTATCAAATAATGAGAATTCATGAAATAAATTTATTTCATGAATTTTATTTTATTGTTTAATACAATAAAATCAAATAAGTTCAAGAAAAAATTTTTGAAATATCAATTATCAAATAATGAGAATTCATGAAATAAATTTATTTTGATTGGTCAAAAGGGCTTATATTTATTTTTCTTAATCATTTGATTATATTAATTTTAGTAGCTAAGTGATATATTCTCACTGTTCAAAATACAAAAGGAACAAAACAATGAACTATAAACTGAAATTATCCTGTCCCAAATTGTCCTCTAATCACTGATTCCCTTGTCAGAGTCAAACAACTAGTGTTTAGAAGTTATTCCAGAGAATCTATGTGAAAGTACAAGAATGAACCTGCTGTCTACTAAAAAAAATGGTATTTAACAATACATAATTGTTTTGCTTCTCAACTTTTGTATTTGTAGACTGTTTCTTGTTAGTACATAAGGAGTTGCTTTAGTTTCTGTAAGCATTTGCAAGCATTGTATGATGTGTAGACATTTGTTTAACCAGTTTTATTTCAATGGATATTTAAGTTTATTCCAGAATTTTGAAATTACTACAATGATGCGATGGATTAAAAAATAAGATACTTTTTTAGATAATACATGTTTGAAACTGTAATTTTTGTGTCAAAGTTTTGCATTTTAATATTAATACATATTTAATGATTTATGTTATTTCGTTGACAACAATTTTGCCAATAAAAGGTGTATCTTTTGTCATTTAACTTTTTTATTTGGTGGTACTGAGGTTTGAATTTAGAGCCACATTTTGTGCTAGATGAGTCATGCCTTTAATTCTATTTTGTTACTTAAATGAAGAATTTCTCATTATTTGGGAGATTGAGCATGTCTTCCAGAACTTATTGTATTTAAACTGTCTGTAGGTCATTATAGATATATATCCAAGCATAATTTTTTGCATTTAAAAATTTTTTAGTAGTTTTAAATTCAAATGTCTTATAAGTGATACATACTATTATACATACTTATGAGTACATTAGAAAATTTGAGTGTATAATGTGTAATGAACACATCCATCTCTTCAAATATGAACTGTATTTTAAATATTTGAATATCCCCAAACAACACTTTCTGGGATGAGCGAAATAATTTTATCATTGTTGTTCAACATAATAGTTACTAGCACCTCTGTCTATTGTCACTTGAAATACACCCACAGTGACTGAAAAAGTCAATCAAAACCATACTTAATTATAATTAAAGATAAATATCACAAGAAGTACATGTCACGCTTGCCATCTTTTCTTTGTTGATATTTGGAGAGGAGAAAAATCTCATGTTTGTGTATCAATTCAAAATTTCATGATGTCTTAATATTTTGAAAACTCTTCTCTGTTCAGCATACAATTTTCCTGAATATCCCATACTTTGTTTATAACTTTATTTTGAACAGACATTCTTTTTTAAGGAACCATCACCTGGGTGGTAGAGACATTTCTACTTGATGTTTTCATGGTGATCTTTTTAGGAACCTAAAAAAATTCATTTGTTTGGAACCAATTTTTACACAAGTTTTTAGGTTAAATATTTCTGGTCTTAATAGGACCTCATCATTACTAGATAAAGAAAAAAGATTTATAGCTTTATTATAGCTTTATAGCTCTGATGGTTGATTGGGTGAGAAACACATTTCTATGCAACACATTTCAGATTGTACAAAACCTGCTACAGATGCAAGGCTAAATTTGTCTGTCTAATATGAAAGAAGGAACATTGACAATATCCCATCATGAAGACTAGGCAAATAGAGGCACGCAAGACTGAACCAAGGCAATAGGCAACTCCACTTACTCTCTATTTCTACCTAATATATTTATTATCCCAACCAATCAGCAACAGTCATCTCCTGCTGGGTTGGAGCTAAAAGCACAGAGAATGCCTGTGTGTTCAGGTGCACCATGATGGTGAAAAGAGGTCTGCCCAGTGTAAGTAGAGGCCATTATTAAATGAATTAAAATCTGTTGTGTATTGAAAGATGGCACAGGCAAAACCCAAATTAATTGGATGTCTGTCTATGTTGAATCAATGATCTTGTTCAGTGTCTTAGAAGACATGTGTCATTATCATGTATAAATACTCTTCACCCTGTCTCTCCAATTCTAAAATTATGTCTACTACACAATAGTTTAAAAAATGAGATGAATAACAGCATGAAAAAACATTGGTTTTTTAAAATGTCAACCAAATTCCACACAATATACACAAATAATGTAGCACTTCCACATGTTGCAAGTGTTAGAGATTTCCAAATAACTATAATTAATATGTTGAAGGAATCTGTGGATAAAAAAAATGTAAAAGAAATGGAAAGTGTAAGAAATAATTAAATTGAACTGTTATAATAAAAAATGGTATCACAAGGGCTGTTGGAGTGGTTCAAGTGGTAAAGTGCCTGCCTCGCAAACGTGAAACTCATTTCAAACCCAATACTGCCAAAATGTTGTTTAAATGATATCCATGTGAATTTCCTTAAATGAGTTCATCATTAAATTTAACAAAATTCAGGAAAAAAATCAATAAATATAATGATAGTTCAAAATAATCATCTAAATCCAAGGACAAAAATATTTTAAAAGAGAAAACAAGACTAGAAAATTCAAAGCTGTTAAACAGCATCAAAATGTAGAACATAAATGTAATTGCAATCACAGAAAAAATGAGGAAATGAATTGGAGTATCTTAAGATATAACAACTGAGAGCACTTTAGATACATGAAATTAATAACTAAAGAATCACAGGGAGCCCTAACCATATGAATACTCAAAGTACAACAAAGACACATCATGTAAAACTGCTAAAATTTAAGAAAAGATAATATATTGAGGCATCCGGAGGGAAAAGCAGAAACTCATACTGACAGAAGAGAAACAATAATCGCAACAGATTTCTCTTATAATAATTCAAGCCAGAAGTGAATGAAATGGCCTATTGAAAGTCTAAGAAAAATAACTTTAAGCATAGAATCAACACAGTTGAAAATGAAGGCAAAACATACTTTTTAGAAAAGAAAATTTGGAAGAGTTTATTGTTCAGAGAATTAAGATAGAAGATGTGTTAAAGGAAGTATTTTAAGAAGAAAGAAAACTTTATCAAATAGAAACTTGAACCAACAGTGTTATAAAGATTTCAGAACTGATAGCACTGATCAATGCAAAATATTTTGAAATTTTAATCACAATTAAAAATACCTGTTAGGGAGGGGAAAAAGATAGAGTGACAGGAGGTGAATTGATAAAGCACATCATATATGTATGAAAATAGCATAATTAAACTTACTTATTAAAACTATAAAAACACAAGTCAGGATGGACAGGAGTTAAGTAATAGTAACATAGACAGGGTGAACTTGATTAAAGTACATTTTATGCATATATGTGAATATCATAATGAAACCTCATACAATTATTCTATGTTATAAAACTTAATAAGGATAGTTCTCTAGAGCAAAGATAATAAAATGTAATGTGGGATTCATGACATGGAATTAAAACTAAATTACAGTAATAGTACAAATGACAATAGGAAATAAATGGAAGAATGTAGTACAATGATGCACACTGTAAGGATGTTACAGTATATCAAAGTGTCATAATATTTGAAAGCAGGCTAGTAAGTATTAAAGATGGAATGTTACTCTCTAGGAGGACTGCTAAAAAGAGATGAAATGGATCTATACAAACTCCATCTGAAAGGGGAAAATAAGGGAAAATGAAAAGATTGAACAAAAGAAAGTAACTATCAAGATGGTAGATTTCAATCCAACCGTATCAAGCAACACATTAAATGAAAACATGCCAATTAAAAAGAGAATCTCATAGTAGTAAAAATGGAGCTCCAATATAAGCATGCTACAAGTGCTCTATACAGACTTGTAAATATAAAGTCATACATACGTAGACCATAAAGAAATGAAGTAAGATGGAACATGCAAGTTCTATTAAAATCTGGAAAGGGCATATTAATATAAGATGCTGAATTATAATCTGGAAATAGCATCAGGAATAAAAAAGAGCACTACCTCATGCAAAGAGGTCAGTCTTTCAGGAGGAAATGAAAAACTTCAATATAAAGAAAAGAGATTTCAAGGGGTAAAGGCCTTAACCCAGTAGTAGAACATATACCTAGCATGTGTGAAGCTCCAGGTTCCTTTCCTAAAACCACAAAACTTCTACCACCACCTGGGTGGGATGGGATGCTTTAATATTCATGAAGCAAAACGTATAGAGTTTTTGTTTGACTTGAAAAAAAGCATCTACAAAAACCTACAGTTAACCTGAAAGTTAACCTGCAGTTGACTTGTACTTAATGTGAAATGCTGAAAGCTTTACTTTCTAAGAATAGGAAGGAGATAAGGATAGAGTTCACTGCTGTTGGACAAATACTACTTATCCAGATTGACAAGACAAGAAAAGGAAATAAAAAGCATATAGTGCAGAGACAAAGAAGTAGCAATATCCCTATTTGCAGGGACATAATTGTCCACATAGAAAATCCCAAAGAACAAAAAGAAGAAAAAATTAAAAAAACAAATGAACCCCTAGAACTAAGTAAATTCATAGGATATGATACTAACATATAAAATTTATTATCATTTCTACATACTGGCAAATCTCACAGAAACAAAAATTAAAAGTTTAATACCATTTAAAAGCATTTAAAATAGAATGCAAAGTCATACATCTAGTATGACAGGTGTAGCACATGTATGCTAGGAACAACGACAGCT